ATAATACCCCTTTATATTATGTCAAAATTATACAATATAATAAAAATTGAAGTAAAATTGAAGCGAAGGTCCCTGATCTTATCAAAGCAAAATTTTCAATAAAACTGTCACCAAAGCAATATTTCTACATAAGAGTTTGATTTAATCAAATAAACATTATCCTGACAAAAAAAAGACTGCAGTCAGATGATACTCAGCCAACTCTTAGAATCTCTACAAAAGATACATAAGCAAGACTTTGTTCATAAGACTTGCAGCTACACTTGGAGCCCAACACAGCCCTGAAGCATGACCAGACTCTGACTTCATTTGTACCTACTTTACCAAGCAGCTTCAGCAGGCTGCCTAAGAGGAATCCAGCCCAGGAATCTGCTAAATATTTAGTGCAGGCTGGCCACGGAGCATGTTCAAACAATTAGGAATATATAACCTACAGGTAACTGCTCTTCAGTTACACAGTAAACTGGGAATCTTCAGCACAAGCGTGTAACATACTAGAAATTAAAGACACTACTATGGCATCAGGACCAAAAGAAAAGAACAAGAGTTTTGCATACATGGATAATGCCAAACTGAGTATTCTTGGGACAAAATCACAACACACTGTCCAGAGGTAGATTTTCAAAAGTGCTTCAGAGATAAATTCAACGAACTTGTGCAATCAATCACAACACATACAAAGCTTACAGATTTTATACCTAAAACACAGAAATAAATTAGAGCAGAAACAGGAAGACCTGCGTACCCTGAGATGTCTGCACTGTCTAAAACCAGAGATATAAAATACTTCCCTTTCCAGTCTTGCTCTCTTTAGATTTCTCTTCTTTCTATCTTCTTGCTGGCTCCTAATCTCTCAGATCATGGCTTTATATCCGATTTCAGTGTTCATTACATCTCACTGTTCCTTTCCTCTCTGCTGCTTCAGTCTATTATCCCCACTCCATGTCCAACCACACCTACAGAAATATCACAAACTTTGCCATTTCCTCTTGCTTACTCAAAGCTCCATTATAGTTGGGGCCTTCACAGACTGCTGGATAAAAATGTTCTACTCGGCATTGAGCCAAGTGCTGAAGATAGAGGGCAAAAGGCTCTTTTTGCTGCCTCATATGGTGGATCTTGACATTGGTAGTCTATCTTCTTTCATAAGCAGAACTCCCACAGACTTTAAAAGGAGATCTGTACATGTAGGCAGAGAAGAACACTGGAGTCAAGATTCCACCCATGCAGATCTGAAGATAATTTTCATTAGCTACAAAGTCAAACACAGAGGCACAAAAAGTTTTGACACGGAGTCATCTTAACTTGGCTGTGAGTTTCTGATGTAAAGAGCAAGAAGGTCTATAGCCTAGAAAACCGTGGAGTGCTGGAAAACCTAGTTACCAAGAGGGTAATTTCATTCTTTATGTAGCGTTTCACATTTGAATGCTAAGTAACCACTAGAGGAAAAATAAAAAAAAAAAAGAAATCAACATTCAACCAAGGATCTCAGCTACAACTACCAGGCACTTCCCAAATATAGTCTGAGACTCTCTGTATCCTAAAGGTCTGAAACGTAAGCTGAGCACAGTGCCCTGCAAAAGCTGGGTGTTGACCATGCATTATGGCAATTTTGCCAATAGTGATATTGCTGCCTACCAGAGAAAATAACACATTAGCACCAGGAATTAAGAAACATCCCTGACAGAAGTATCATGTCTATATCCCATCCTTCATGCTGTGGAACACTCGTTCCAGCAGGGGACACCACTTGACCAATACAACACAGCAGCAAGTCAGTAATACATAATTAACATGCAACAGTGATTAATTAGGTAACATCTGACCAATAGCCAGGACACTCGGCTGCCTTTGCCTGTCTCACCACACAAAAACATTTGCAACTTGCACAGACAGCTATTAATTCAAAACGTACCCCATTTCCCCCAGCAAGCACAGAGCACAGGCCAAAGGGGGGATTCCAATCTGTTGCACAGCACAGTATGTAGCTACAGCATTTCCATATACTCCAGTGTGCACAGCATGCCTCAAATTAGACCCAAATCTTTCCTTTGCAAACAGCATGCTGTAAACATTCAAGTAGAGTGTTACAAAGTACACCCAAAGACACAGCTGTCTCCATTTTTTAAAGACTCCTATTGCTTCTGCTTTGTACACAGCAGATTTTTTACTTTGAAAACTTTGTTTCTAGGGTGTAGATGTACAACATACTAAAATCAATGTCATGAGTTATGATTGACTGATCTACAGCTGTTTAGGGACCAAAATTGTAATTCCATTGCTTAATCACTCCTGTACATTAGCTTATTAACAGAGGCCTGTTTATTGACTCTGCTTTGTGCCAAGTGCTTACGATGGCTACTCCGGGCTCCCCAGTGGAATCTCTCCATACATGTACCACAGGTAACAATTCCTGCTGATGCAGCATCATGCTGTTCTTCCAGCTGTTCTGGTGCCATCCTGAGAAATAGGGTCAGCACTGGCATCTCATTTATTTCCTGATGCTTGGCTTGCATCCTCTTCTCTCTAGAGAGAGCGCTGTTGCAAGAGCACTTTACTTTTATTGCTCCTGTTAAGCTCTTTTGTTCTTCAGTGGAGGCTGCTCAGGCTCTCCAGCATTTTGGTTTGTTTGAAAAAATGTGCCTTTTCCTTTTGTCTCCGCTGGTTTTGCATTTTGCTCAACCAATTCCATAACAAAACTAACTCACATAGCACTTGCAAGAGCAAAGCTTTTTTTACCGCTATGCCTCACTCGTCCTCAAAAACGTTATGCCTCAGTTCAGCAGTAGGCAGAAGGAAACGGCTCGCTAGCTGGACGGCAGTCCTGCTCAGCGACTTGTGCAATTATTCAAGAATGTCCTTGCCCTGAGCATGTGGATACCAGTCTTGATTCACTGGCTGTCAGAGACAATTCTGTCTCATGTCTCCCCAAAAGATTACTGGATTTTGATTAGGAAAGGTCAAGGGCAGCTTTTCCCTTCCAATATAAAGAGTATGACTTGAGGAAAAAAATACTCATCACCTAGCATGAGGACTTTTATCTCCACTTGAAAAATCAAATTGCCTGAAGAGATGGGAGGCTTAGGGCAGGCTATGTACAAGAATGTTTTCATGCAAATAAATTCCTAAATAATTTATCTACATGCTATAATTTTAAGTTCCCCCAAAAAGGTTTGGGTTTTTTTAACAGGTGTTTTAGCAGGAGAACAAAATGCAAAGCTCAGGTAGCCAAGTCTAAGATAATACCCATTTGCCAGATCAATTTTAAATGCACATTGTATTACTGACCTAGCATACTAGAGATTTAGATTAATCCTTAACGCTTCAATACATCCCCTCAAAATAACTTTCCCAATATTTGATTCTCCTTTGAAGGAAAGTGTGTCAGAGATATAATTAGCTCTAGCTGCAGACTCCAAATCTCTGCTTGGCACCATTCTCAATAAAACACACCTTCAACCAGTGTGAAATTGGTATAGCTACATTGAATCTGCTACTTGCAACTGCAGTATTTCACACCAGCTGAAGATGTAAGTATACATGCATAAGTGAGAGAAAAATATGTTTTCATCAGGAATAATAATGCTGCAGAACACACAGCATCTTGGGCTGAGTAAAACAAATGACAAGTTCATAAGAAATATATTCTTCTAATTGAGTTTAAGGCACTAAATAACCACTCTCTTCTAACAGAGAATCAGATTCATAGTGGGTATCTCTACATTAATTAGGAATAAGACTGTCACATGGATTTTAATGAAATAAAGTTATGTCTGTGGCTTCTCTAGGATATTAAAGTCAATTTATCTGAGGAAGACAAGTAATGGCTGGCTTTTTCTTTTTGTAGGAATTGGAGTTCATTGAGGAAGGTAGCAGGAGTTAGCACTGTCTGAACAAGCTCTTACCTGTTAAGGTACAAATTCCGAGAGCCTCAATTACCAAGATGGAATTGCAGAAATCCAGCAGGCTGATAGAACACAACACAAATTACTGCCATCACACTAGAGCACAGTGTACCTCGTGGCTGTGAGCATAAGGTACAGATAGCACTTAAATACTCAGCAAAACATTTTTCTCGGATACAAGCTCCTAAACATATTTACCTTAATGCATTTGGCCATATGGAAATTTACTTACCAGCATAGCTTGGGACAACTAACACTCCACATCCTGTGTTGCTAAACACCACACTAAAAACTTAAAACTAAATGGGAGGGTTTTAGCTATCTTAGTCCAAAACCAAGACTGCCAAGCCCCATTTAGCACCTACGAATGCAAACATCCAAGTTTCTGTCACTGGACGTGACAACCCTCAAGTGTACCAAGCAGTTCAGCAACTACAGCAACCAGCAAGCTACAACAGCGAAAGGTTTCCATCTCTTTTTACCTGTGGGGCCTCACTGGACCAACCCTCATGAAAAACCACAGAAGAGCATACTGGTGTTACCTTAAGCCCTCAGTCTTATTTAGTGTTTCAGTGATGAAAGCACTCATTTCGTACACATTAATTAAAAATTTAGATCCCCTCCTGTATGATAAGAAGCACGAATCTCCAAATTAAAGTTTTTATTTAAAATAATTAGATTTTGAATGAAACACGAAGTTTCTCTTTCAGGTCTAATCAGAGGTAACGCTGATGACAGCGGACACCTCAGTCCTTCACCACTATCAAATGTCTCCTTGACCACTCCAGCCCCAAGTCTCTTAGGTGAAGTGGACAGGACCTGTTTACTGACACACATTCTCTGCACAGCCTTTCAAACAAAGAAGTCTCTCTTTTTCCACCTTCCACACCACCAGTTTCAGCACAGATAATAAATTTCAATTATTCAGTCACTACAGAACAGAAGACCACAGAGATGTTCCACAGCATGGGCCTGGATACCCTGTGTGGCCTTTACAGAAGTATTGTGAGCTTGTGTTTGAAAACACAACTGCACAAGTTCACTCTACTTCATTGTAATAAGGGCTGTAACAAAGGCAATAGCTAGTGTTTTGATACAAACAGGATTTTAATTCAATCCAAGTGTTTTCTGTAGAACAGAAAGGTTTTTATACAAAAAAAAAAAAAAGGAAGTGTTACTTCACTTGCAAGAACTTGCACAAAGAAGTTTCTGAACTCTAGTGCTTCAGGAAGCCAAGAATTTTTTTGAACAACCAACCATGTGAGGTATTGTTATAGATGTTATAATCCTGGTTTGGATCAGTCTCCACCACATACAACTCTCCTGCATGGACATCCTCAAAGTTAGCACTGAAGTTGTTAGGATTAAACTGAACCCATACAGTATACCTGTAGTCAATTGTACGCATGGAATAGCCCATGATTCTGATGTCTTTCAGCTTCGGCTTGTCAGAGTTCCACTGAGGAGTGTCTGCAGGCCGGGGATATTGGCTGAAAGCAACAGGTTCTTCATTAAAACACCTGTAAGTGTCATCACACACAACCTTCTCTTCCTCCACCTTCTCTTCAGAGGCATTAAAGTACCGGACAATGCTTGCTCCCTCAGTGCACAGTGCAACATGAAACGAAGTCTCTGGGCACGCAGGAGGAACTTGAAGGCCAGCAAGTTCAGCAAGTGTTGAAAACAGAGACACAAGCTCAACCACTTTTTTGCTTTCCCCTGGAAGAAACATGAAAATACAAGTTATGGAACATGATGGTTTGACAGACACTGGTAGAACATTTTAGAAACTTATTCTGATAATTAAGTTGGTGTTTTATTGGAAGTGCTCCATACTGCATTTGTGGGGTAACAAAAATCAAGGCAATTAAGATGTGCCAGTTAGCTCTGAAGATGCTCATCTATGCATTTATGATGTATTTTTAACAAGAAAATTTTTACACTTCTGTTTCTCAAATGTGCAGCCTTCAAGATAATAATATTCATTACTTTGAAAAAGAACTCTTCAGAAAGACAAAGCAAATTCCAGTGTCAATAGTTTAACACGAGAGTGCCTGCATCAGAACAGTTTCCAATGCTACCATTTTAAGTACAGATGCTACACAGAGAATGTTTACGAATCACTGTAGGAAAGACAGCAGCCACCACTACAAAAGGAAGGTCAAGTATCCTTTTAGGCGTCTACACCACACAAAAATAAATCTCCTGCTGTGTTAATGCAGGTATCTAGCTGTTTCCACTAAAGCAGATCCAACCAAAGCAAGAGTTTGTGTCCAAGGATTCCCTTCACCATCTTGTTCCTCATCAGTACAAGAAGCACAATGACAGTTCAAGAAGTCAATGACACTGACTCAAGCTGCCTGTAGGCAAAGCATCGTTACATCACCACATCTCCTTTACATAAATCCACTGCAAACAAAAAATAAATGCTGAAAATTTACCTTGAGGTACCAAGCTTAAAATATGGCTAAAAGGGTCAAGGTAGGGAAAGACCCTCTCTCCTTGACTAACAGAGGAAGTTGTCATTCCTGGTACATAAAACATCAGCGGCACACGGGTGGCAACATCAAAATTGCTGTATTTTGCCCATTCACCATGTTCTCCCAGGGACCATCCTAGATGACAAAGAATACAAGTCAGAGCAGATACCGGGTTGTAATTTAGTAGTCATTTCTTTTTCACTGTAAATTGACTCTGGCTGTTGAGGTCACTAGTCTGTTATCAAGGTTATATTAAAAGGCAAATAACAATCTGTATTTAAATATAACAAGATTTTTCTCTAATGTGAAAGCTATTTCAACAGCCACCTAAATCTTGCAACTTGATACTCTTTTATTAAGGAAATAATTACACCTTTCCTTATTTCCCCTACTCTAGATTAGAATTAGGAAATCAGCATTACAACAGCAGAAAAGAGGAACTGGGGTGTGTCACAGCGCCTGCAAGAGTCTCCAGATCAATTCCACAAAGCACTCATTTAAGTTTTGGGCAGCTGCCAGCTCTCCAATACTCCTGTTAACGCTGTAACTGAACATCCCTTGGAGCCAAGGCTGCTATCTATGCCAGACTGCCATATCAGGATGTTACCCCTGAGGAAGCAACAGAGATCAAACTCTTTAGCTCTCCTCTTCCTCTTGGAAAAAATGCCAACATGACTTCCTTCTAGGCAGATTTATTGCCAACTTCACTTTGGGGGAAGACAAAATTGCTCTATGACAGCTATGTTAACACACGATTTTTCTGGATCACTTTGCTAGCCATGGTACTGGCAACACCAACTGTTTACAGTTAACCACAGCAAGGAAAAGAGGAATTCAGTTTACAACAGAAAGTTCAAGTCAAAGTGGCAAGTCAGAAGGAACATCTAGAGTCACTTTAGTACGAGAATTATTAACCCCATTGCTCCACAACTCATAAGGGCTTGTTTCTACACACATGCTCACAGAAGTCAACCCCAATTAACTAAATATGTGACTTTAAATGGATTTATTTAAGCCATATTCTAACTGTTTTAAGTCAGCTAAGCCATCCCCCAATTAAAGGGATCATGGGGGGGGGTATTTTAACGAATATTAGAGTATTGAAATAAACATTAAATGCTTGAGGTACTTGTCCCACTGTGCTGGAGAAAGTACACCTTGAAGCATCTGTGGCTGTAGATAAGTCCACGCTGCAGCAGGTACACCTTGAAGCATCAGCAGCTGTGCATGAGGTCATGCTGGAGCACCCCAAAGCATGTGGCCATGGATAAGCCCACAACAGAGCAGGAATCCCTTGCTGCTAGCCAGGCTAGGAGCAAGGGGAGGGCTTCATTGCAATGTTAAACCCTATAATCTGGCCCAAAGAGACCAGGGGTGGAGTTAGTAATGGAAATACCTTTAAATTGCTGTAAGCCATGATTTGAGTTACATGTTATAAGAATTACTATAGAAGGAACCACTTAAACCAATGTAGGACAAGCATTTCAAGAAGTAGTGCAAGTGCAGCAGTGACCTGACTTGAGCTGGCTTTGGTACCCAATAACTCTACACAACACACCACCTCGCCTGTCCTGAGTGACCACCGTAACAGATGGAGTTATCTGGAGTCCAAAGTCACAGACTAAATGAACTCAATGAACGTTTTGTGGATATTTGCAAACATTTTAAAGACATTTTATAGGGGTGGTCCATAGACTAAAAGAATAGTATCTGTGTATTATATCAAAGGATGGGAAGAGGGGTGGTCGTTAATGAAGTTGTATTGGATAGTATGGTACTTGAGCATGACATAAATGGTATGGAATAAGGGGTGGACTATATGCTGCTTTTGTCTGGGATAGAGTTAATTTTCTTCACAGTAGCTACTACGTGACTACCTTTTGGATTTGTGCTGAGAACAATGCTGATAATACAGGGAAGTTTTAGTTATTGCCGAGCAGTGCTTACGCAGAGCCAAGGCCTTTTCTGCCTCTCACCCCATCCCACCAGTGAGGAGGCTGGGGGGGGCACAGGAAACTGGGAGGGGACACAGCTGGGACAGCTGACCCCAACTGACCAGAGGGATATTCCAGACCATATATGACGTCATGCTCAACATATAAAGCTGGGGGAAAAAGAAAGAGGAGGCCATTCGGAGCGATGGCATTTGTCTTCCCAAGTAACAGTTACACATGATGGAGCCCTGCTTTCCTGGAGGTGGCTGAACACCTGCCTGCCAATGGGAAGTGGTGAATGAATTCCTTGCTTTGCTTGTGTGTGCAGTTTTTGCATTACCTATTAAACTGTCTTTAACTCCACCCACAAGTCTTCTCACTTTTACTCTTCTGATTCTCTCCCCCATCCCACTGGGGGCAAGTGAACAAGCGGCTGCGTGGGACTTAGTTACTGGCTGGGGTTAAACCACAACACCCACGATTCAAATTCAATCTTTTACCACCATGATCCAGAGTGTGCAAGACCTCAAATATGAGGGGGGAGCCATATTGCTATCAGTTTAGATGCTCTGCAAGCAGCAATGACAAGTGCAAGAAAACACACTTCAGCAGTTAATGAGAAAGCCTGTCTCCCACTGTACCAGATGGCTCTCTACAAATTTTAAGGGGGGAGGAGTGGTCGCTAGCCTTTCACAGCACTGTTCCCAGCAAGAGTCACTCCCTGGGTAGGAGGTGGGAATACAGCAAGCTCAGCCCAGTGTCCTGGCTGACAGTCTCATCACTCACTAGCAAACCCTCAACCTGATTAAAGAGAGGTGCCTGCAGGGGGACAGAACTAGCAGCCACAGAATCCTGTGTCAGTCCATTTAATTAGAGACAGACTAGCCTGATACACAAGGTATGGTAGCTCTGCTGTACATTATATAAACACACACTTGATTAATATGCCAGCACTGAGTTGCACAATTAAGTTATTAACAGGTAGCTGGAGAAAGATTTAAATGCTTACCATGATCAGCAGTAAAAACTACTATTGTGCTATTTGAGAGTCCTACATCATCCAAAGCATTCAAGAGCAGGCCAACTTGCATATCCAGGTAAGAAACTGCTGCATAATAGCTCTGACGAATCTGCCGCTGCAAGTTAAGAAAACAAGGGAGTGTCAAAAAAAAAAAAAAAAGTTAGCTTTTCCTGAGACACACACACACACAGGAGAACCACTGGGTGGCTGTGTAAGTAAAGGAACTAAAGGATTTTACTTGTAAAGCTTTATTTTTTAAGCGTCTATAGTCTGATTAATGTCCCAGAAATGGTAAACAGGGAGGGGACAGTTAGAAAATTCTATCTTCCAGAAGTTCTTTCAAGCAAGATATTGCAAACCAATCAGTTCTGCTTCTCTCACTGTCCTTAAGTGCACCTTATTTTGGCATAAGCACTGGAAAAATCAAGGAAAATCTTGCAGAAGAAGATACACTGAGTGAGTGGTGGCTTGAAACAAACAGATTCAGATAATGAAAATAAACACAACATTGGTAGCTGCTACATACATTCCCTTATATACAAACCAGGAACACATACCACTATCGCTAGTTGATAGCTGATCTCTTCCTCTCTGCCCCCACTAGCCTGACTGCAGTTACAGTGAAGGTTTGCTGACAAAGCCAGAGGTGACAGTATGCATGGCATATGCACAGGAATTCATAGTACTTGCAAATTGTCAGCTACTGAATACCTTGGAACATCTAAGAGCAGCTGACTGCTCCCTTGCATTTGAACAAGTTAAGGCAGTTTGACTTCAGTGCACTGTATTGACAGCTTACCTGGAAGTCATCTGGAAGTGGTCCATATGGGAAACTAACATTTAATGCTTCCACATCATCCCTCTGTCTGATATCCATCCAGGGGTTGTACGCCACAGAAGGTAGTTTCTCAGGCACCCAGGGATCTGGGGCTAATGTGATGTTTTCCAAGGGGTACAACTTTAGAAATTCCTTTACAATACAAACACATAAAGACTGCCCTCACCTCTAAGGTCTATTGTAAACTTTGTGTTGTAAACCAGCAAGCATTTCCGTTGCATGACCCTTTAATATTCTTACAGTTTACAAGGCTTCACTCCCCCTCCCCCAGAGTGTAAAAGGTAGCAATACTATGCTAGTCAGCCCCAACCAATTCCTGAAAAATACTAAGTTAGTAAGTACCTAAAACCAGCCTCCTGTATCTTAAAACAATACTGAAATAAAAGATCCAACATCACTTCTTCTGAAACGAGTAGGAGTTTTGCCACCAACTCAAACAGGGAATGGATCTTGTAAGGCCTCATTATCTCATACTCCATCAAGCTGAATACCATCTCCATGCAATAGCAGTCACCATTGTGGTCACAGAAGCCTAGCTTTTGGGCGAGTGGTCACAACTCATTCTCATTAGACATTCTGAAATGCAACACAGGCGACTGCTGAAGTTACACAAAATCAAGGCTGGTTTTCAGCTTGCTTTCCAGAAACAATAGCAATGAAGCATTTGCAGAAACAGCTTTGAAAAGCAAAAGCAATGCTTGTCTAAGTTCCTTTCCCTATAGGCTCCTGTTTCCTCACCTGTGGGTACCTCAGAGGGATATGTGGTTTGTGGTAACCAACAGCCAGGAAGAATTTTTGCTTGTTTGTTTTCATAACATTCAGTAAGCGTATGGCCTCTTCAGTGCTCTGAATATCAGGCAGAGTACCACTAGGCATTTCTGTCACATCCACTGGGCACACCAAGTTAGCATAAAGTTTTCCATCTTTTCCCCTACAAGTCTTTAATAAAAAAAGAAAAAGTAGTTAAGTAACTTCTGTAAAAGCAAAGAAGAAATCCTCTGTTCTGTAGCTTTCAAACCAATTTGTTTCTCAATCCTTCTACCAACAAAAGACTGCAGATTGGATACAAAAGGGAATTTCACAATTTCTATGAATATTAAAGGTACTGAGTACATTGATGACTGAGCAGACAGCTTCAGGAGTTCAAAAATGCAACTTCCATGTCTATGGAAAAGCAGAATCCTCTCTAAAGCTGGGCAGAAGATTAAACATAGCCATATGGGAAAACACACAGCTTCTATGATGAATAGAATCTCTAACCTATTGGCAAGAAGGCAGAATTTGGTTCTACTATATACATGCTTTTTATTCCTCCTGATCCCCAGAGCTCATAGAAAGCTGCCTGGAAGCTACTGACTTAGTTGCTGAGCAAATACCAGCAGTGACTGATGTATAATCAGAGAAGAAAGATAAATTAGACTAAACGGTTGCCAGGAAAAGGTGGCCTCAGCAGGGTGTTTGGGAGAGTTGCTAAATGAACATAAAGAAAAGTACATCATGAATGCAGATACTGTTGTTTTTAAAACCAGTCTTTTTCAGCAGTAAATGCAAGAACAAACCATCACCAAGGCTGCCTGTAGCCTCATGGCTGGAGCTCCTAGCTTTGCAGTGTATAGACTCTAGCACACGACGCTACTGCAATGTTTGCATAAATTTTGGGCTACACTTAAGAGTAACAAACATTCTAGTAAACTGAATCAGATAATAAAGTTTCAGATTGTTTAAAGATTATTTTACTTATGGCCTCTACCCGCTCAGCCCAGAGCTCTTCACTGAGTTGATTTCAGTTCACCAAGCCTATTGACAATGTTTTGTCACTTACTAAGCAGAGCAATATTAGTGTGGAAACCGACAACTGCTCTTTTCAGATAAAGGAATTCATGACCTAGACACAAATTAAGATCTCTCTTTCTTGCAAGCACTTTTCTATCTCAGTAACTTAAGTTTCCAAATATTAATTTAGAAATACTTAAAACATATGCAGGATGGGCACATGAATTAACATGACACACAACTGACAAGAGAGGCCTTCTTTTGGAAGGCTAAGAAACAGGATATCAAACTAGCTAGTTGTTTCCCTGCACAAAGTTGCAGTCTCAAAAACCACAGGGTATAGCCTGTGCTTGACACAAAGAACTTGGTTATATCCTGAAAACCCTTCTTTGTTAGGGTCCCACAAATCACCCTTACCTTATCATTTTCATACTTTTCAGTTGAAGGATGAAAGGGTGGAATGGACCAACTGTATGGATAGTCATCACTGTAATTGGATGAAACCCCTGAAAAGGGTAAAGATATTAGAAATGCTCTAATAGTTCACTGAACCAGGAAGAGCTCAAACCAGTTTAACTTTTCACTTTTTTTTTTTTTTATATAAGCTAAATGATCTTTGACAATTGAGAAAAAGAAAAACTTTTTTACTTTTATTTCTTGGTTAAGAGAGACATTTTTCCATGAAATACAACTTTTACTGGTGAGGGAGACTCAAGCTTCTTGAATAACCCTTCTTAAGGGAACAGCAACAAAAAAGCAACCAAAAAAACAGGAATAACAACAGTCTTCATGTACATCCTTAATTAGCTTTACTATCAACTGAAAGTTCATATATCCACACAAGTTTACTTCTGTAGTAAAGAACTACCAAAAAGAGGGTCAGTATTTTTCAAGTCAGCAGTGTTATTGCTTTTTAACTACTGAACTAGTTTCCTATTTATTTGGTAGTATTAGCCATATATTCTATATCTCCTGATCCAGACAGACAGCCTATTATGAAACATGAAACATGTATATGCAGAACTAAGACAATGAGGCTGTTCAGTAATTTCATCTTCAGCAGATACCTAACTTCCAGACATATTTTTAGAATGTTAGACATTTATTCCCACAAGCCCTAGACAAGATGTGAAAATATTAATTAGATAACAGTCATCTAATATATTAATCTCTGATGCCTTAAGATTTAAAATTAAGATTTAAAGACAACCTACAAATCATTGTACAATCTGGCTCATGAATATGGTTTAGGTTGTCAATATAGACAGGAATCACACAGTTGATACTTACATGTGGAGTCTGTTTGTGAGAATGTACACGTTAAGCATGTGTATATTAAGCAGATAACAATTCAAACCATACCAGGATGAAAAACTTTCCCCACAGATAAGGTCACATAGCCATTCTCCTTGAAATACTGTGGCATCGTGGAATAGTTTCCTGCATGTACCCTCCAGTAGGAGTAGAAATCGTACAATCGGGTAGTATCAGGTCTGCGTCCAGTAAGAAATGACACTCTACTGGGAGCACACACGGCTTGCTGAGGAGAGAGCCAACCAAAAAGAGAATTGATTTGGAATAAAAAGCAACACACATACGATCTGACTTAGGTGTAGCTAGGCAAAACATCTGAAGGCTCAGAAACTGTAGTTAAAGTGTTACATATCACTTCAAGCTGGAATGAACAGGATCCTTATTAAGAATATCAATTCCCAATTGCAAGCTTTTAGCAAGATATACATTTACCTATCTATAATTTTTCCTCAAATAACCAATTTCTAAGCACTAAAAGCTTTGGTTATGCAGCTAGTAGCACAAAAAAACCCAAAAGGTCAGGTTGTGTTAAAGACAGTGCTTTTGAAATCTAGTAGCTCACACACGCAGAATTAAGCAGAAGCAGCAGATGGACTGTGCTGACAAAAGCCCAAAGTCTAGTTCATCTGCAGTGCCTTAAGAATAATGAAAAGGATAAACATACGGAAGGTCCAGGTTATGGTCCAAAGGCCTCACCAATTCTGTTTCAGATTGGCAAGAGCCAAGAGTTACTGCTTTAAAGTCCTAATCCCTAGTCAGACTTAGGCTCAAATTTCTAATTTCTCAGCAGAGAGAAAATTGGGAATGTAGTCATCCTATGCAAAGTATTAAAGAACAATTAGTGAGATTTTGAGTCCTGTATTTAAGAGTGATGCTTACCACACAAGCTGCCCTTTCATAAAAGTCTACAGATTTCCTCAAAAGAAAAAATTAAAAATTAAAAAATAATCTTTTATAAAGAGTAGGAAAAAAATAATTCCGATTTAGTAGGACAGCATTTTTAAGCAGCACTTTGCTGCTAACAGTGGAAATGTTTGAGTGACATTACACTCCTCCAAGGGCTACACAATTATCACCACTCAAATGCCCCATTTTAATTTTTCTCACCTTAGTAAAAATAGGTTCATACAGTACAGTTCAGCCCAAGCACTTATTTTCTACTGGAAACACTTAAGGTTAATAAACACTTGCTTTTTCCAGTGGTCTGCCTAACACCTACTGTGATAACACCTGTAATTATTTTGCATAGAGAAAGCATTTTTTAATTAAGACCTCTCACCTGTACATACGCATTGCTGAACACAATACTTTGAGAAGCAAGCTGATCAATGTTTGGAGATTTCACAAGCTTATCTCCGTAACAGCCCAAAACGGGACGCAGATCATCCACAACTATGAACAGGACGTTCATGCCATCTACGAAGAAAGAGAATTAGGAATACATTGGCATTCTCTCCAGCTGCCTTCAGCTGGCTACAGAAAGGCGGCGTGAAATAAAGAGGTATTTTACAGTTCCACCCGCTACTGAATTCTACAGCCTACGAGCTTTGAGAGGGGTGTTAAGCCGCAGGCAAAACTCAGACATGGCTACGCTATATAATCCTGCCCCAAAGAGATAAAACGCCTCAAAAAAATTCATTACATATCTATTTTTAAAAACGCCCCCTTAAGGTGGCGAGCTCCTCTACGGCTCAAACGGCGTACAGACGACGCTGGCGCCGTTGAAGGTCGGCACCTTCCAAGCGGCCGGCCGAGCTTCCCCAAGACCCTGCCCGGGTCACGCCACGAAGCGCCCGGGGCC